TCCCATAAATTGCAGGAAAGCGAGAGGAAAGATGTTACACATCAAAAAACAACTGCAGGCAAAACACGCTTTATTATTTTAGTGTATTGACTTATATGCTTCCATTCATTACACAAACACGTTAAAACTACATGAAAATTAAAACATCGAAATGACTGAACAAATTCTGAAATTGATCGTGAAATTAATGCTCTCTGGTGGAAGTTTGCTCATCGATAAACCGTTTTTGATACAAAAATGCATTTTGATCCGAAATGTGTTTTTTGGAGCACGCGCCGTTGTTAAAATCGTTCGGTCGTTTAAAATGGCACGCAGTACGTAAAGTTTGTTTTGACGAACTTACAGCCACACTCACGGACGACATTTTAATTTAATGCTACATTATGTACACAAGTTATTTTATTGTTAATTATTTGCATTCTTCTATTTACTTATTTATTCAAGTTACATATTTCGGCTTATAGAAAAATCCAAAACGCCGGCAAGTCATGGATAAAAACATTTAACATTTATAGCAGGTATTCAATAGAATTAATAAAAACAGAAAAGAGATAATAAAAAAAGTCATGACTAATTAGATCACATACAAACAAAGTCAAATCGCCCATTTCTAAAATTATTAGTTAATGACATTATAAAAATATAATTATGTGAAATCAATCAAACAATTAATAGTCATATCATTATCAAAGAATTAAAAAGATTTAAGTGAATTAAGAAGAAATAATGTCAAATATACTAATAAATAAATAATGTCATACCATTTTAATTTTTAATATATAAATTGTCAAATTCAGAAATAATCAATCAATGAGCTATCTATCTATCTCAAGAAACTCAAGTGCGGCCGCCATTAGCTTTGTTAAACCATCAGCTAATAAATCGATATTGTCATATTGAGCGATTATGTCCCCGATGAGTCGGATTGCGCGCGTAGTGGGTGCGTGCGCGGCGTGCATTTTGCCGTAGAGCACAGAGAGATAGTGGACGACGAGAATGATCTTTCTCTTAAGAGCGATTGTATCGATCTTACCATACCTTACACGAACGATGAGGGATAAAGAATCGGATAATACCCATTGACCTTTTTATGCAAATTAATATATTTGCCAATCAATATTGAGCATTGCTACGCTATGCTGTGCTCATGTTATAAACTAAGCAGCCTCACAAATCGCAACTTATCATACGTACTGTTCGTTTTCTCATTAAGATTCGCACATAATAGGTCGCAGCGCAAAAATCTGCTCAAATCGTTCGAAATGTATTTTATATGAACTATCGCACACTATGCCGGGGCGCAGCGGGCCACATATTTTGCTGCGAATTTTAGTTGCGTGCGATGCGGCCCCCGCCCCAGTGCACCACGACACTGTACTATAGCAAGCGCAATGAAGTGCATACAGTTGCACGGATGCCTGGCAGTACACTGTACCCAAAATCCGTCAATGAGTTGCTACCCGGCCCGTACTAATGTGCTAAGTAAGCATTTTGCGCTGCGGCCTGCTCTGCCCCGCTGAGGCCCGCCATAAAATGCGCGAACAATTATAGTCAAAGACGAGTAAGCTGATTTTATAGAGCTTAGGATTTATATTACGATATTGATTGGTCACCCTAAAACTCAGGTGAAAGCTTAAAAGATATTTTTTTTAATTCATAGTTAACTTTAACGAAGAAAGGATTTTGTCATCAGCTTCATTTGGTTGTTTACTCTGACTGGTTTGCACAGAAGAATGCATTCATTCGCTTTCCATTATTTTGATCGACCAATGTTAACAGAGAGGTACAATTCGGTTAGTGAATATAGTCAACGCTACTGCTACCGGGTCATGGAAATAACATTCCAGTCTGGTTGACGAATTTGGTTATATTGCATTCGATCGTCGCTTTCCGCATCACAAACGCGGTATAAGGAATCATTCATTTTACGAATTTTCGAACTGCAAATAAATAAATGTTACTAAACTTTTAACCGATTAAGGTAGAAACAGACTTATGAAACGCGACGCCACCCCACGCCCCACGCTACAAAGAACACAGAAACTTTCATAGGATAAGCACTGTTTTCTTAAAAAATGGGTGTAACACTTTCATCTATTCTTTCAATAAAACTCTTAAGTGCTTTTTTGTAAAATTTTGCCAGATGGACGTATCTTCGATCAAGCCATTCGCTTGCAATCTTCTGGGAGAACAAAAACGAATTTATAAATAAATAGTAAAGAAAGTGACTGCTATCTTAGCAATAAGGCCGAATATGTTCTTATATTTCTGTGTTTTTCTGAAAAACTATATTCATTGATTAATTCATTCAAATATTTAAAAACAAGTTGTTTATCATGACAAGCGGCCGCCCATTACTTCGTCTGCGTTAACTTAGTTTTTTTGAGAATCCTACAGGGACCTAACTTTTTACGGGATAATATTTCATCCAAATTCGTTCAGCAGTTTATGGTGACTTTTTACCTGCGTACTACTAACAACTATCATCTATCAGCATCTAAAAGTTGTTCGCTGGCTCGTACAGCGTGATTGAGTAACAAAAATACAAACTTTCACATTTGCAGTATTAGTAGGAACCATGATATAAAGCTAATCGTATGAATTGTTTAAAAGTAATAAATCGGTTGGGTTTGATTAGAGTCTAACAAATATTATTACCGCCGCGTATGCAGAATGCACTGAACGCCTAAATTTCCAATTCACAAAATACCAAACTAACTTACTGTAATATTACGTACGAACTGTATACAGTGCAAATTGGAAACAAATCAAATATGCATCGCTCAACCAACCGTGAGATGGAATACGCACATTAGCGGTATGCGGATCTATTCCGAATCCACTAGCAGAATCGACAAGTTATTCCACTTTTTCGTTGGAATTCGATTTCCCTTTTGCGCTGAAGCAGCGGTTTTTTATAATATTCCGCTGTTGGCTTTACAGGGAATATTAGATTCTTGCTTTATAGATGCGGAAAATTATTTTCTCCTAAGCTTCATACCAATACTAACTTTTGCCCACAGATTGGCTCGAAACACTGAAAAAATTGTGGTATAATATTAATATTACGGCTTTGCTAGTTTTATTTTCAGAAGTTTGACCACTTGTGATAAATATGATATGATGATTAAACAAAGCTTTATGAACGAACTTTTCTGTTTTGATAAATAGCATTTTAATGTTAAAAACATCACCATCTGCCAGTATATAAAACCAATTGAAATATAAATTCAACATTTTTATATCCTTCATTGCATGCACTTTTAATTTTTTATTTTCGTAGGATTGTATATTGCTTATTATAATTTATAAAAAAAACAATGTGTAAATATAATCATCATGTATGCACTAGGTATTGTTAAGGCGAAAACTAGTTTGGCGCTTCTGTGGCCCGATACTGCAGAGAGGGATTACTATATGTCCATCTTACTCCAACTCGCTCATGTACAAAATGTAACCGCACCACTCTGACATCGTCATCAACACAATGGCGATACGACGAGGTGCGCGATCCTCGGACGGACAATAGTAATTCTACCTGCACCTCATTGATTAAATAATAATTTGTGTATGTACCTACTGTCCAACTGGTGAACACGGCGACGGACAAACCTTGCATGGTTTTTGTTCGCCGTTATTACTTGTATGTTTTGATAATGTAATTGGGAAATAAATAAATAAAAAAAAAAAAAAAAAAAAAAAAAACAATTTACACAATCGTATATTTCTGTAGGAAGCTTGATTTTTCAGTAGCGCGAAAAATGAGTTCATATTTTTTAAATTTGCATTCAATTATCGTGTATGATTTGCGTTTCCTTATTAGAGACCCAATAAGGAAACCTTTCCATATTTCGCGAGATATTATTCAGTACGTTGTAATAAATTCTTGAAATATTTTGCTCGTAAAAATATGCACTCGGGCCAGGAAAGAATTCAATTCAAACAAACTCGTTAGTCCCTCAAAGTGGAAAGCTATAAAGAAAATATCAAAACATTTAGAGCAAGAGAATTCGAGAGACATCTTTACAATACGTATAACCGACTGCACTCTTTTAAGAGTGCACTTACAGTGATTGTATTCTATTTGCTGCCTCTTGTAACCTGCAAAGTCTTTTATGACTATTTCGTGGATACCGCAGAAGGCTTCATCCGTTAAAGCAGTGCTTTTAGGAATGAAAGTATTAAGTCTCAAAAGATTAACAACATATACGTTTCAGCAGAATTTCGGAATACTTCTATATTAACTCAGTCAAAGACTATTTTTAACCAGGTAGGGTCTCAAAAAAGACTTATGGTGAAAAACTGTGCAAATATCGAGAAATCTGATGAGTCACATAGAGCTAGCAGCCTTGCGAGGCAATTGCCGTGCGAGGCAGCTCATTTAGTGTGGACGTGCCTCGGATGAGGCTTTTTTTTGTTTTGCTCAAAGGCACCTCAGTCGTTTGTCGCGCGCACTCTAAAGGCGCGTATATTGTTTCGTACCTTGATTGAGCATAATATTTAATAACAAAGATCAGTGTTTGAAAATAATATCTCTCTATGGTGTAAACACCTGGCTATAATAGAATGCAAGTAATCCTAATTTTACAATGAATAGATGACTTAGGGAAGATATGTGGTTAAATATTAGCCGCGAGATGCATGTACCGGTTCCTGATTTTGTTTTTGTTGTCTTCTCTTTTTTATATTCCTATTTATAAGGTTACAAGCAATAGCTGCCACCGCAACACGAACTTGTGGTGCCACAATATCTTAATTCTCAACTAAACGAACAAACAAAATGGCCCGGGCTTGCCATGCTCGTTCGTCGGCAGTTAGTACGTGCGGCAAATGCTTCGCGAGCCTGCTCGCTCTGTGTGGACGCACCTAATTACTGAACAGATTTTCAATTTTTTGCTAATTTGTTACTCAAACAATAATGTCGCAAAAAGCCATCAAAAACAAACTAAAAACGTCAATGTATATTAAAGCTGCATCAATTTAATCGTAAACATATTAACTTAAGCACTTGGTTGCATTACTTCTTCTTTCGGTGTCTCGGATACTTCCGGCACAGGTTCCGCTTCGACTGACTTGGGAAGGTGATCTCCCTCAGCATGGTATGCACCATTGACGTCAGACTTATACTTTGTGGTGTATGTCTTGCCATCGTCACCGACGAACGTGAACGATCCTTCGTAAGTAAGCACTTTGTCCTTCCCGTCTGCTGTATCGACTAGGCGTCCCCTTTCAACGACAATAGTTCCTTCCGCTGTGACGTATCTCAGAGTGTACTGGCCAAGTTCATCTCTTTCGTCCGTATGTTCCACAGCGGGAAGTGAACGTTTTTCTTCCGTGGGAGCTCCGTAAACTGCTAAGACACACGCGCAGAGAACCACAATCTAGAAAATAATGGTTTTATTAATAATTTGCTCACATAAACGTTGTCATGTGTAGTTAGTTGATGGGACTGAAATACTTTGTCTTTTACAGATACTGATGTTGAGAGGCAGATATAGCTTGTGCAGCAATATACACCATACGTTTCTTTTGTAAGAGACTGGAATGTACCAGGAAAAGTTAGATATGAAGATTACGAAGAAGTAAACCGCTTTGTTAATATATATAATAAATATATTTATTATTTTACTAGCAGTGTTAGCAGCCGCTAACTTTAATTTTTTTGAGAATACCTCGAAAACCTAATATTTTTTTGGGATAATAAGTACGCTATGTCTTAATCCAGGCAATAAACTATGTGTGCCAAATTTTATCGATATTAGTTAAACCGTTTTTGTGTCATTGAGTAACAAACACACAAATACAAACATGCAAAAAAAAAACAACACACTTCATTACACAAATTTTCACATTAATAATATTAGTACGATAAGTTCTAAAATACTAATTTCAAAATTACCTGAAAGTGATTTTTTGCGAAACATATTGAACTAATTAATATACTCACTATTTTCATTTTGCTGTATTTGTAATTATAGATTAATTTAGAATAAAAAAATGACTTCCCACTGTGGAATATGATACCGCTCTATCAAAATATCATATTTGTACATTATTTTATACTTAGCTTAATTGTCATTTTAATGAATATTGATGCTCTCGAACAACAGGTTCCATAATTAATTTCAATTAATTTTAATTTACTGCATTTGCAAATCGTTAATCATTAACAGAATTTTAATGGTTTACTCTTTGTCAAATTACGCGGACAGAGAACATAAAATTTTATATTATAATCATTCACCTATCAAATGTTTCCGCGAATGGTAAAAATTAGGATCCAAATACAAACGTGTATCGGAAAACTATGTTTGCTAAGAATATTATATTAAATTATGACATGGGACGTGATTTTATCCTTTTTATATATTTTATGATTATTATTGTGACGTTTACCTTAAAGTCCAAGTGACCAGTGCCGTTTTGAGGTAATTATATAACTTTTTTTTCTAATAATTAAACAAAACGAGTAGAAAAAAATAAATTATATTGTTCACAATAGAATATGTACAAACATATTTAATTGAAACCTGGGTAGAATAGCAAAAACACATTCATATTTTTAGTCTGACCACTTTCAAATAAAATTAAAAATCCGCCAAGAAATATTAGGGTTCGGTGCCCTATAAGTAAAAATAGAATACTTTTGCTGTTATTCTGTCGTGTGTCTGTCTGTCCGTATGACACGGGTCTTTTGATCGTAAACGGAATGAGTTACAGAACTAAAATTGGTACTTTGTGTAGAATGCTTGCCCAAAGCCGAATATTTAATTAAAAGTTTAATTAAATTATTATTTTCATGTGGGTTCCCATATGTGAAAAAGGGTACGATTTTTTTTACCCCAGCACGTGACACGTCATTGTCTAGAATTTGTTGAGTAGGATGTAAATATAATTTTTAATATTTTTTATTTTCAAGCACAAAGAAATGGGGGCCTTCAATGTTTTAAATTTCAGATCATTTTTGTAACGGGGTCTATCTCAAAATCGAAACTAGTTAGAAATGTGAAATTGGTATAAATGATATCCCATATGCTGTATTTTAACAAAAAATACTAAAAACGCCGTTTCGTAGTGTGCTTTGTAAGTTCAGTTTGTTGTACGGAACCTTTTTTTTTTGATTTTTATTGTTTACTAGTGGCCCGCCCTCGCTTTGCTTCAGTGTAGAGCTGTAGTGTAAAATTCGATTTTTTTCTCACCTTTTTAACCTTCCCTAACCCTCCACGAAGATTTCAAGACCAAGATAAGATAAATCCGTTCAGCCGTTCTCAAGTTTTAGCGAGACGAACGAACAGCAATCGATTTTTATTTAAATAGATAAAATAAGATTAAACATTTTGTTTTCAAGTACCTAAAAAGTCATAACTCTTGTTGCCTGACTAAAGTAATAGAAATTCTATCCTACTAACTTCTCAATCACTTTTTAATTCCATTTGTGTTCTACACTATCGCGATGACTTGTAATGTGGTCGGGCTTTAATATTACCTTATATCATCGACATAATTTTCAATTTTAGATCTCGCCTTTCTCTCACTGCCGAATATTCAACAACCATAATTTACTCATTAAAATGACAAAATCTATGTTGAAATAATACTTGCTAAATGTACACCTGGTGCTTTATGTTTTGGGGCTAAATATTCAAAACAATAAAATTTCATTAAAAGTTTGCCAGTCACTCTGGATTTAGGATGACGGGCCCGAATCCATTAAAATTTAGTCAATATACAATTTCATCGCTTACTACAAATATAATTTTCCTGAATTTTATAGTAAAAAGATGGCAAACAAGCATTTTAACTCAATGATATGATTTACATGTAGGCAACGCGTGAATACATTGAGCACCAACGACACTGGCTCATAAAGAGACATACAGGCAGGTCGAACTCCCTTTTGTAACATGTGAACCTTGTTTTCTTCAAATACCTCCTTAAGCTAAATAGACCAGCATTGCGCAAGGTTACATGAAATGTGCTGTTATTGGAAAGGTAATTTTTATAAACATCTTTTCATCTTAGGTGTACCGGACGGTCAGATGATCTATGCAGAGAATGGATAGATGCAGAAGAAACAGATACTTACGTTCTGCTGGTATGCAATAGACTGGCGAAATACCGGGCGAAATACTTCTGCTCGAGGCAAGGTACAATCTGGCACCATAAGAACGTCAAGTTTCAGAAATACCCGTTGATATGAAGAAGATGAAGAACGCTTCGGTAGAGTCATTGAGCTACGACGCATTTCCTAAAAACGTGGAGCCTTACAGGAGTGAACCTTAGCCAATGCAAGAGTGAATCGTAGGCAATGCGGGTACAACCATTAAGAATAATGTTAGGTATTCGGCTGCTGCCTTCTGTAAGCGTTTCTTCAAGAGGTTACTTTCCCAGATGGGCGATCCCAATGAAGTAATACAGTGATTTGTTGGGCCCTAAGTCTCTGAAATGAAACAAACTGGTGTGTTTTAATAGTGGTCCACGACATTGAACAATATTTTCCACAGGTTAATTTGTTACAACTGTTTTTATTAAAATTATAAACACCTTTCTCAGTATTGATTGTTTTAAGACTACCTAGTGTTATACAATACTAGGTTCTCCATATATACTGAATGTAACCCATCTAGTGCCATAAAGTTATTAATCACATTATTATATCCAAAAACTTTAAACCATTTTCAGACGTGCGTTAAAAAGAATAATATTATATATAGATGTAGTTCTGAGGAGTATTTGAAAGTGAAATGTGTTTAACTTTACGAACATTTACAGAAACATGAGTTTTCGCTTTTGTATGACTACTAACGGCCGAATATACTTTAAAGTTCTTGAAGTTCAAAAGCATGGTTCAAAAAGTATTCCCAAGTTGAATATCAGATGTGAGTTGAACGCTAAGACATTGTCAAATTCGTTTTGAAATAATGTAGTTTTTATCTAGTTGTGAAGCTGATAACCAAGTTCGTCATTCAAATGAAAATTTTCATTTGCCTTAAATGTGGTTTTATACATACCTATGTTCAGACAAAAATAAGCGTTCTTTCTCTCATTTTGGGCTTAACGCATTAAGAAAAAAGGATGAAATAGCTTAGCTTTAGTTAGCATTCATTATAAAGAACTCCGACCATTTTTCGTTTATGTTTTTTGTAGTAAACCCACAGTAATTATAAAGTTTCTCATTAAAATAACAAATGATATAATATAATGATAATAATAGAAAAAAAACAAGTTTCACGATAAAGATGCATTGATTTATTTAGTTGTTGTAATAATAATCAATTTACCGCACTAATATCATAGATAACTATTCCTAGTTAAAACAGGTCAATGTATGATGCGCTGTATATACAACGGTACAGCATCCATTCATTGCATTAAACATTTTTGACCAAAAATAATTATTCTTAAATATTCATGATTTAACATATTAATCAAAGGACATGGTAAAATTTTCTATAAATAAACGACTACCGTAGTAATGTATAAATTTTGTACTTGCTTAGTAAGTAATATTTAATGCTGAATGGCTAAATATTTATAATTTCTGTGAAAAAATACTCAAGCACTTATGATTAATTACAATCCTGATAATGATGATAACTCCTACTACGTTATTACCTTGTTACATTTGATAAAAGATATTGACAATTATTTACAGAGCCATCAATTGCGCATTTCTTAGAATCTTTCCTCCCATTCTTTTGGTATTTCCCTGATTTACACTTCAGAAAACGTATTTTTATCAACATTAAATATAAATAATTTGTAGGTAACAGGAAATTTGTGATGTATTATTTTGGTCATTTGCAAAATCAAAGGATTAATTCTCATACAGCCTAGTCATTAGTCAGATCAAAAAAACAATTATTTACAAGCCTTCAGTGATTTGTTATAAAAATTTTTATTGTTGAATGCGATATACTTACACAAATAATTTTTGTGTAGATTTATTGTTTATTTATTTGTGTAAAAAGAAACATTTTCCTTTAAGAACAGACATAAAGCAAATTTTTATACTTTTAAATATGTGATTATTTCACGAAAGTTGTATTTATTTGTTATTATACTGCAACACAAACATATACTTACCACAATTACATAATATTTAAAGTCTTTACTTTATATCTAGTTACTAGCCTTAAATAGTGTAGACAGCATATTAGTGTATAGACAACAGGCAAATATATATCTTTTAAATTAACTGAAAAAAATTTAAACAAGTAATAATATAAATACAGTTAAATTGGAAATTAAAACTAAGTACCATATAAAAATTTCTGTAGATCCGACCGAAACAAACAATATTTGCTAAATATATCTAACTGACTACGAACAATGTTTAATTCGTTGAAGGTACAGCACATATGGTACAAGGGATTACGGCTCTTGCCCCCTTATTAATAAACAGGGAACAAGCTTAGACTAGTTACGCCGTGTTTTGTTCATGTCATTCAATAAACAGAGACAGTGTAGTAGTAAAGTAGTATTCGTTTATTAATAAGTAAGTTTGAGTTTTATATTGGGGTAGGGAAAAGTGAATATCGCACGTGGTTCGCTATATAATACTCAAGTTGGAACTTTGAAATTAATATCCTGGAGCATTTATGTTTCCGTTACATTATGCAGTACTTTATAAAGAAAATGCCGGCTTAAAAAGGACATTCGTTTCTCCAAGGTAGATAATCCGAAATATTTCAGCCTGTTCTCGTAACATCTCAGTGCATATTTTAAGCTTAAAACGGTAAAAGTCATGACATTTTTTTTTAAATGGTTTCAACATGCTTGTTGTAAGATCGCCAAATTATCGAAGCATTATCTAGTTTACTGCGGATGAAACTGTTATAAAGAGTAAAAAATGATATAAACTTACGGAAATTCTTACAGGTACGCAAGATAAAACCAAGTGTCTTATTACATGATAAGCCAATGCTACTGAATTGTTGCTTAAAATTTAATTTC